CATGCCGGATGCATTAGCCTCGTACCGGGGACAGACGAAAAGAGCGAAGCTGTAGCTATCGACGTCAAGCGTATCGGCGTCAGCAACTTTCAAAGCGAACGAGGGGATTCTGATTCATAAAAAAAATGCTCCTGGATGAGGGGAACCGAGGAACCACCCTAGCTTTCATTCGGGTCCGTCTTGTTCTCACTCCAGGGCTCTCCCTGCGCCTTCTGCTCATCCGAGTCCTGTAACCCTTCGATTCATTCTCCACGCATCAGATTACCGAAACGTGGCGCCTCGATCCGACTCGCGGTAGCTTCCGATCCGACACCGCGAGCCGTAGGTCACTGAAAACCTTCATTGAAGGGTTTCCGATGGAATCATTGCGGAGTTCCGTGTTTCGGACGAGACTCAAGAGCACATTGCTGTGTCTAAGATCCAGGGTTGGGAGAGTAATTTTTCATTCCGATTCAATTCATTCTCGAAAAGCTACGGACACCATGCCAGCAAGCCTCACGAGCTAGATATTTCTGGGTTGGAGATTCAAGGGTAGAATCAATAAGACGCACTGGAGCAACGTGCAGTCGGCACTCAGATTTTATGCGTCTTTTGGGGGCAGTAGCTTCATGAATTCCTATTAAGGAGAACACCGGGGAGAAGTCGGCCGAGCAGACGGCCGGGCGGGTTTGGGAGCCGCCGAGGGGGCGTACGATTACAAACTCAGTGAGCCTCTACCGCGTCATATGTCTTTATTACGGAGCCAACGAATCGCAGCTTCGCGTATGATGCACTGCGCGAGTCTTCGAGGCAATTACAACGAAAAGTGGCGGCGGCGGCATTCATTGAGCTCCCAGAGCTACAACGACGGTGTCTTCCTCGTTGGCTGTTCCCTCACTCATGACGTGGCTCCAAGAGAGAAATAAATCACTCCGATCTCCAACTCGGCTTGCAACAAACCACGAAGCATTCAAAAATCAAGGGTTTTCGCTCAAGGGAATGGTGTCAGCTCAGGAAAGCCCGACCAATAAGGGCGAGCTTTCAACGTTGGACTGATTTCTCCTCTTGCATGCGATCTGGACAAGCGTTCGAACAAGATCGTGGCCCACCGCGCTCCGCGAACCTTGCATTGAATCACTAACAAAGGAACACGCTAGCGAAGTTTGTCGCTCGGTGAAACTCTTCGCGGACAAGACTCTGCGCCGAGCTCGCTCGGTATCGGTTAAAGTCGGGCTTTCATTAATATCAATGGATGACTCAGAACTGAGAGAATCGGGCTCAGTCGAAGGATTAACTTATGGAGCAGGCCCGTCGAAAGCACACCGCTCCGTGCTAACATCGAGTCGGGAGTCACAACGAAGAGGAGACAACGCTGCTGTCGAAAGGATATTCGGTATATCCTTCGGATGAGCTAAACCAAATAGATAGCTGTGTGGTTGACAGTCGGCAGACGCTCCATATATCCGAGAGTACCTATAATGATGACTCAACGCAACAGCTCTGGGTTCTCCCGTACCGAGAGACAATGAGCGTGGATTTCGATACACGATGCGTGGATATTTATCCTGATCCCTTGAGGATCTATCCTGCGGTCCTAACTGACTCCTGGTGATGGAATATCATGCGCATGACCTCTGTGCTCCTCCTCCTGCTGCTGCATTCTGCTAGCGAGCGTTCGGTAGCGATCGGAGGATCACTTGAACTAGGAGAGGATTCCCCAAAAATAATTTTTGTCCTCTCACTCATGTGCTGACCTCGAGGGGGCGCGTCATCTCCTTGACCCTTGCCACCGCCGAAAATCTGAGCTGGTCCCTATAGACGGAGAATTCGGGTCAGCCTATGGCTCTCCGCAAATGAGCTTCGCCGCGAAAAATGGTGAAATAAGTTCATGTACGGAAATTCCTTCGGCTCTAGCTTGAAGAGTACCGTCGATCAGTCTAGTCCCAGCATGGAGCTCTCGCATGGGACCTCGCCTGATAGTTCATTCCTCGGCTGCGCATCGCTAGCCAGCTGCTTGAGAAGGTCGTCTGGCACTTCTCCCGCTGGTGGTTCGACGGTATGTCCTAGCTAACCAAGAGTCAGTCGGGCCGACCGCCCGAGTGGCCTTACGTCCGACCTTGATCCTCGAGGGGCATCCCGCTGCCGCGCAGGCTTCGGCTGGGCGCACTTTGTCTCAGTTATCGTCTGAGGCTAACTCCCCGTTGCTGCAGTCGCTGCTCTCCGCCTCTTCTTCGCTGGTTCTATCTCTCCTCTCTCTCATTTTTCCTCGGGGGCATCTCCAGAGCTCCCTAATGGATCTAAAAACACATTGTTGGAGAAGACAAGAGGGATAAACAGCACCACCAGCCGCTGGTGAGGCGACAACAACAACGAGACACGAAAATGAGAAAGAACAACGAGTCAGCTGCTAAGACGAACCAACCGACTGCCGTCCCTCAGAGCACTTGTGTCAATTTTGATGGTCTTTCCGCGCATCTTTCTCTTGGGTACGTTGTCACGACGAGGTCGTTATCCTGCAGCAATAACCTCGAGGACAGAGGGGGCCCGGGACGCCGAGCATATTATTCGACGCGAAGCAGAACGCGAAGACGAGGAAATTCAAACCGCTTACCTCTGGTTATGGTTTTCATGCAGCGCGCGATCGGGGTATAAAACTGGGGATGAGGCTTTCCATCAGCTCTTTTTTCTTCGGCTTGCAGCTCGACAGGACTTGGTCCCGAGTTTTGAGTTCTTTCGAGATAAATATGCAGTCCTCGAATAAGTGAGTCAGTATATTTGGGATTATCGGGAAAGGCCCGCGCAGCGAAATCCGCCGTCACTACATGAGAGGAGCCATCCACGGCTTCCATCAGCCTCTATGTAGAAGAAGAGACAGGCACGAGGCAGAAGACGAATGCATATGTCGATTTTGTGTTGAGGAATGCCCATAATATAACGTATATGATACAATACATGTGAAACAATACACGTGAAATACTCAGGAGAGCTGGATTTGATCAGATCTTTACTCGGGAAGCACCGTGTACCTCCCTATCCTGGACTACAACCCAAACACACCGGAATGGTGATGAACGTCAATGTTATATTCAGGATTATCGACCGCTCGCGACTCGAACAAAAGTCAGAGCGGCGCACAGGCCTCATTCAGCGCTGTTGCGTCAGGGATCTCGTTGATTCTGCATGGAATCGTTCTCATGCTCTCATGATCTTTCACAGTATGAGACTTATTTTTCCTTCATCCCATTTTTCTGGTGCCTCACTCGATAAGAGGAATGGTCGGAGGGATATTGCGGGAAAACCCTATGCGGGACGAATCCACGGGACACCTTGTCGCAGCCCGGCAGTCACAGCAATAGACTCGGATCCTTGCGGTCGTAGGTCGAACGAAACAAAGTCAGACAGATCGAGTCCAGAAAACTCGGAAAGATGACAATATTTCCGGGACTGGATGAGCTTGAGGGAGTATCACTGAGGAAGAGGGATCGGGAGAGAATCACTGAGAAAACGAAATTTCGGCATTTGAAATCGTCTCAGGAAAATCGTCCGAAGTTAACCTCGGTTCGATTCGAGGCGTAGACCTCCTCGGGTCCTCCGTGATGGAAGTATAGCAGCATACCTCAGGGGCCGCGCCGTGGTCTTCTGTCTTTTTCTGGAATCTACGACTCCGACGTAGCGGTTGATTCTGTTGGTCTTGATTCTGGTCCCGGTGCTATCAGTTCCGTCTCCGAAAGGTCAGAATTCAGCTTCACTCCGAAGGCGTCGGTATTTCCGCGCGTTCCTGTACAACTACCATATCTTAAGATTGTTAGAGCTTCAATCATAAGTAGACAGATGCCGATGCGCTCGTCTTTACGACCCGCTCATGAGACGATAACGCTTTTACGATGCCCATTAATCGGTGTAACAAGCTCATAAGAGTTCGATCACTGTCGCCAAAATCATGCGACGTATGATCTCGTTTCTGTTCGCTCTATGATGATACTCCTTCATCTCCTCCGCAGAGATATGCATCCGGCATCAACGCTGTGGGATTTTGTCGAGCCCTTCACCCGAAGATGGCCTTCTCCTGATGCTTCCGTTCGTGGCATATGGAATATCACCGAGGAAGCGCTCCATGGGGCGGTTTCCGTGCAGCGAATCCCTTCCATACTCGGAACGCAGTTTTCCCTTAGCTAGTCGATTACTCTTGGAAGGAGGAGCCCAACGGCGTCCGCGAGTCGGCCGAGGCAATCCGGGAATCGGAACCGGAGAGGAAAAGCGATTGAACGAGAGGAGTCGGAATAATGAGAGTCACAGATGAGTGAAAGTATAGCCGTTGCACTCGTCGACGGGGTAACTTGAATAACTTACGCTACATCAGGATGACTCAGCGGAAACGTCCCTGCTGACGGGAGGCACTGACGAGAGTTTTAATGATCGAAATTCTCCGAAATTCGATATAGTGTTCGCGGCTGCGATCCCCCCTGTCCCCGAAGGGATCGTTCGATCCGCCACTCGCCTTATAGGCACAGGAGACTCGAGAGTCAGTGGCGTAGCCAGGATTTTCTTTGAGGCGGAATTCTTTCGGGCCCCTCGGGAGGTTCTGAGAATCATCAGATCTCGGTCTCATGTCGATTCACTTATATATTTATGAAATAGCTCCGCGAGCTGCAATGGTGTTTACTACAAGTCATTCGGCAGAGCGGATGAAAATTTGAATTGAAATGCCCAGATTTCTACTCTCGTAACCGTCATAGGAGCATACAGGCGTCGCCCCGGCACGGTTCGGGGAAAATTTCTATCGGAGATCAGAGGACCTCGGAAGTGATAGCGGGCTCGATACGAATCATCTCTACCCCACCGATACTACCGGATCGACTAGGTGTAACGACCGGTCGAGGGTCGAGATATGAGCCAGGAATGAATGGAGCCGGGATTTGGTAATTTTGGAGTTAAAGCTGATCCATTTATTCGGTTCGGTTCAGTTTGGGCTGAATTATTAAATTATACTTTGGCTACGCAGACTAAGTTTACTGAGCGGCAGCGAGTTCAGCCTTCTTCTTCTGGATAGCTTCCTGAAATAACCCGAGGGGATCCGTTAGATTCACGGCGAGAGCATCCGAATCCAGACGTGTCTGGATTGTAGTTGCAGTTGCCAGAGCCCCTCTGCCTTATATGGATTCAGGTTTGATTGAAATACTTACGACGGACAGGTTGATGACCTTGGCGAGGAGCTCGCGTTCGCCTTCCTCGATCTCAGCCTGGATGGCAGCGATCGAGTCTTCGATGAACTTCTTCTTCTCTTCGTCGGTCTTGTCGTCGGGGCACTCTCCCTTCTCCTTCATGGTCTCGTAGGCCTTCTTGAAGAACTCTTCGGCCTTGAGGGTAGAAGCCTCGCTGAGACCTTCGCTCTTGGCGATCTCCTTCATGATCTCATTACCTGGAGAGACGCGAAGAGAACCGTCATCGGATGAATTCGGGCCCTTGTCGAATAGTGAGAAGAACAAGGCAATCTCCGATTGCATTAATGCGTCTTCCATGTGAAAATAATGACGCGTCTTCTCGTTTCATGAGGGTGAAGAAACCGTGCCGACACATGGAAGATCGACGGAGTCGTCGCTCGTTAACTCGGTCGGACGTCGCCATCCGTGTGTTTCTGTTTTCGTGAGTGCGTTCGCGCCGCCAGGCCGTATTTGAAAGAAATGCAAAACAATGCCTACGCCTTTGTTCCAACAAGAGTCTGACGTAACCGCGCAATGTGGTCGCAGCCTGGATTGGGCCACTGTGGAGCAAGTTTTTCTATACGACGATTAACTGGTCGTGGCTAGCTCAGCTAACTCGTGGTTCGGTCAGACGATTGCCCGCACTGTTTGGAACGGGTTGCCGCGAAAGAAGGCGTCGGACCTACTCGCTCGTTATCGCGAGCCAACGGTGGGGTGACGTGGCCGGCGGTGGCGTAAGCACCGCCGCAACCTCCTTCGATAGCGGTCAGCTGGGACCTGCGGAGATCCATGGGTCTTTCTGGAACCATCGGTAACTAGCTCTTTCGGCGAACGGAACGGCTCTCTGATGGATTCCAGAGCTGGTCTGGACGACGAACTAGCCACGTAGCTAGCCTCGCAGAAAGAAAAACGTGTGCGTCCGTCCCGCCAGCCTGTGAATCAGCCCATCCGATCGTTGCAGCGGCCGCCGACCAGTGGGTCACTCTGCGCTCTGAGTTTTGTTGGAGCAGCTGTCTTGCCGACCGCTTTCGCTAGTCAACGCTGAACGTTAGGGCACTACCGACGTTCCTTCAAGAGCGAGGTCAGCCTTTTCCTGGGATGATTTTTGAAATCAAGGACGGTCTGAGCGACCTACCGATTGTCAGCCCAGCCGGTCAGCAAGTCGACTGAACTACGCGCGAAAATCCAGCGAGCCGACCAGGTCCCCGTAGGTATCCAACGACGAATCGACGCTGCCGAAATCCCACTCCAGCAGCGCAGGTAGCGTTCATTCGTCGAACAATGAGGGCCCTGGTGCTCGGTAGTACTCCGTTCAGAATTCCGACCGTTTGACGCGGACCGCCACCAGGCGAGCCGGTCGAACGGCCAACCATCCGGAGTCCCTCACAGGCGGACAGACTTATGGACGGACGGACGGGCAGACAGACGGACGAGCTGACTGACGGCCAGACAGTCATCCAGACGGTTCGTCAACAGAAAACGGAGGGTCAGCCCGCCTGCCAACCGACCGACCGGGTGGACCATATAGCGTCGGCCCGCCGCGACAGAAGAGTCACGACCCCTCTGAGCCGTGACTCAGAACTTGAATCGGACGCCGAACGCGCCGCTCCTTGGAATGGTTTTCGGAATTTCGGAAGCGATTTCCAACTCGTTCTTCGGAAGCCAGATTCCGGATCTAGATCCTTTCGCAGACAGAGAAGCTACACGTGGAGCTGTTCAGGAATTTATCATTATTTTTTTCGTCCGTATTTCTCTCCGGGTTTGTCTTGTTGAATTACTCTGGCTGTTACCGTTGGCGCCTGACAAAAGTTGTATTCATTCGCTCGACAACACCTGGAGCATCCGTTCCATAATGAACATTTTCTCTAACGATCGGTCGGCGGGCTCGTCTGACGCTTTGTCATTCGCCCGCTCGTAGCTGTGACCCGTTGGGACACGACTCGTCACTGTAATCGTCGCATGGAATCGATCCACAGCAATCAAAAATCCTCGTGTCGAAAACGGCATTCGATTTGACTCTCAGCAAGGATCAGAGGGAAATCGCACCGATCTCCATTTGGAAATCCAGCTGCTTCACGGCATGAACCGATTCCTTTCGCTTCCTCCTACTCAACTCGGATCCCTGGCATCTACCTTTTCCCCACCAGAAATATTTCCAGGAACAGCGCGGTCGGGAAAGATCTGGATGAGTAAGATCAACGTCGGCGACGCGCAAGGTGACGCGCCAACGTTGGAATTTCCCCGCAGGCCGAAAGCGTGTGCCCCGATCTGCGGGCCCCGGCACGCGATCTAACCCTTCCACGAGGACTTTCTGGTGACGTCGGGTTTCCGTTGGAAGCCCGACTTGAGCCGTCTGGGCGGTGGCCGCGTGGCTCGGCTCGCAGAGAAAAAACTCTTCTCGCTCGAGCGCGACATCTTTTGGCAAGGCGAGTGCCGTCGTAACGTCTGGGAAGTCGTAGGACCTCCCTACGGAAATTCACCGTTTTTTTCACTACTAATCGATGAGGATATGTCGACGAGGCTTCAGATCGGAAAGAGCGCCCTCGGCTCCAGACGGCACCGAGACCTTTGGCGAGATAGTGAAAACTAACTCTCTGATTCTCGCAGAATTTTCGTGAATGCGAATTCCTATTGAACTCGGTCCGACCCCTCCCCGGATTCCCTCATGACGCTGTAGAACCCATTATACTATCAGCTACGAGTAGCGGATGTCATTCTCAACTCGATTCCGTACCGATACCGCTGAAAATCCGAAATTCGACACAAATAGACTCGATGCCGTTTGGAGCCGAAGTCATTTGACAGCATTTGTGACGGGAAGCGGTGCAGTCGGAGCACAAGTGCCCTCACAAACGAGGACAAAATCGGAGCACAAGTGTCTGATGGGTGTGGCGGCGGGAGATTTACTTTCTCTCTGGGCAAACAACGGCCCATTTCCAGAGTCTACCGACCGATTCAAGGTAGAAAACTCGGTTGGACGGTAAGCACTTCTTTTCTCCGGCTCGACGGCAGCGACACGAGTTGGTAACGCTTAATTACCTACTAACGAACCGCAATGAAAAGAAATTAAAGAACGATCTTCTGAGCCGTGGCGAATCATTCGAAATGGCCGTCCTTCAGTTTGACTCGGGAAGAAGTTTCGTGTAGCAGGGGTGGAACAGACGGAGACGGAAAAGCGTGACCATCCAATGTGGGAGCACACCCCTCGAACTTAGCTACGCACGCCCGCCCGTGGTCCAGCTCTCTGATACCTCGATGAGATTGGAAAGCTACGAAGAATCCATTCAGAATTAACACATGTATTCGGAATACTATTTCAAAAGCCCCCTGGAAGATGGAAATTCCACCCAGAAGAGCGCCACGCGTACCCCGCCCAAGAGACGCTCGGGAACACGAGGTACCTCATTGACAGATGCCGGGCGCTCCGGTGTAGCGCGCCCATTTTCTCTCGAGAGAAACGTCAACCGTGTCGAATGAATATCCCGCGAGCACACTTATTTTCCGGGGACCCATGCTAACGATTCGGTTCGATTTTTCGAAAACTCACCCATCTGGACCATCTTCTGGAACTTGCAGGTGTCTTCGCAGGACATAGTTGTCGGTGGTGATCGGTTTCGAGTTGAACGTCGGAAAGAACGAGTGTCTCTGACGGCGGGGCCGGCGCGCCATCTCTTTGTATTACGCGTTGAGTCATCAACCCTCGCCTCAATGCGGCTTCTCTCCTACGACACCGCCGACAGGCAACGACGACGTCGACAACGGCAAAACTTATGCGGAGTGTCGATGGCATTGGTTTGGCTTACTCAGCTTCTCTTCTCCCTCAGGAAGCCGCTTCTCATTCATGACTTCTACGTAGATGACCGTTCCAGAAACAGCTCGACCCTATGCGAAAGAAGCCACTTCCGAGATCCAATTTGTCAGAAGCGAATTCGCCTCTCCGCGCCGAACTTATCCTCACAAGAAGTGCTTCGCCCGGTTCTGTTCCGATACCACTGCTAGAAAATTCGCGCTCACGCTGACTCATGAACTAATAACGTCGGAGGGGCCTGCTCGCCGAGATGCTCGGAGGATCGATTGGTTTACATTTGAGAAATAAACAACATAACTTGCCATCAGTCGGTGCTCCGCTAATGATTCACCGACAATGACAACGAGTCGGTGCTTTTACGAGCGCCGAAAACGGAATCTTTGGAAAAAGAGAGAGTTCTGAAAGGCGAGGCAGAATATCTTGTTTCCTTTTCTTGAATGAGCGCGTAGCGTACCGATCCCCGTTTCCGCTCCGGAACGAGCCTATGGATTCGGCGAGACCGAGCTTTCGGGGACTCACGGTCGATCTGAGAAAAAGAAGCTATCGACGTGCTCCGACGGGATCCGCTTTCGGACGGGTATGGATCTCGGATTCGGAGTACTTCCAACTATAAGTGATGGTTGAAAGAAATGACGTCGTTTAAGTAAACACATTTGTTTCGGTACATCGGCCACAATGTAGCGAGCGAGCCACAAAGCCGCTCCGTGGAGCCATGGGACGCACGCTCCGAACCTGATAATGACGAGCAATGTGCTTTCGGTCGTTGAACGAAACCTAAATCAATCGATTTCTACGATTCCCTCCTCTCCCGAATATGCATCGTTCAGGCAGATTTCCTGGTTACGCCCTATTGAAACAACGCGGCGACGTGTTGTTCGTTCTCACTCAATCAAAGAACAACTTACTGCCTTATCTGCAGCCCATAAACAAGTTGTCGATGTCGTCGTCGATCAGCTCCACCGAGGCGGTCAAGCCTGGGAAAACGGGAATCGCCAAGACGGGCTTTGGAATCAGTTTAATCTTTGCGACCCCCGTCATTGATCGTCTACGGGAGAGCGAATGAAAGGCGGTTGAGCTCAGCTTCCCCCAAACGCAGATAGTTTTTTTTTCGCCAACCGAACCGAAATTGTTAATGTGCTTGAATTCATCGGCGCGGCGTAGACGAGATTACCCAATGCCGTGGGATAGTCGGAGATTGCCGGAATCGCCCAATAAGTCGATAATTCGGTCGCTGCCGCAAAGTTCGAATCGCTTAGATTGTACGCAGCATGCCAATAGTGTATGGAGTTCTCGTGAGCGGCGAGACGCCATTGTCGGATTTGAGAATGGCGACGGACGGAGTTTTCCACAAGGCAGCCGCAGAGGGCTTCCTCGGCGGGAGCTGAACTCGTTTTAGCGAACCTTGATTGTCTGCTAGCACGTCAATGATCATGACGCAGATCATATGAAATCCTTGTCTTGTCGCACCGATATGATGCGGTCTGATAAGTATCGATCCCCGGCATTGGATTTTTGGGCAAACAGGATTTCCAAAGAGAGCTATCTGCAACGTCATACGATCAGAGGCCCAAAGGATGACTTTCCATCGACCTAAGCGAATCCGGGAATATGGTTTTGATCCAGGATCTTGACCACTGCAACATGCTGGAGCGAATCCAATGATCGAAATCCCTTCAAAATCCAGTGGTACGCATCCCGCTTACTTGGTTATCGGTTTCGCCAAGACCTGCTAAACGGAAATTGAAAAACTCAGGATCCGGGCAACCAGACCATGCGAAGAGAGTCGTGCATGGACTCTTCTACTCTGGGAACGGCACTCGGCAGTCGACGATGAGAAGAGGGAAAATCTGGGACCCCGGGTATCGTGAACAATTGGGACGATTTCCTCCGAGTCTTGGGGAGAAATGAAATCGCGAGCGGACGAACGCTAACCGTAACCAGCGATCAACGTCTTCTGAATTGGAAAGTGCCTCCCACACGAAACCGGGCTGGAAACTAGAATCGAAAACTATTGATCACGATCGTTCCGGCCCTCGTTGCTTCGGACGTGGACGAGAACGAGGAAGCGGAAATTCACAATGACAGCTGCAGAAAGAAAACAAAAAGGCCTGTGATAATAATGGGGCAGAGTGATGTTTCGATACGCGTTCGTTAAGGCTATTGATGACAAGCCTACCGGGAGAGCGGAAAAAAATTGTGGAGTCGAATTTCTTGCGAGCCCTATATCTCTCGTGGTGTACCGTTCTGATCATATCGTTCTGACCATGCGGTCTTCGTCAATTCTGTATGCACATATGCCTGCGCGATCGATATTTAGAATCGTCGTACGGTAGAATTAAGCATGCTTGAACTCTGGTTCCGCGGCAAAGGCAGCGGACGGTTGGAGGGTTCGAACTCCCAGTCTCGAGGCTGGGCGGATCCTCTCAGAGATGCAATGTTTCATGTTTCCGTATACAACTCGGAGAATCACTTTCTCTGAAAGTTTCGAGGACCGAGGACCCCACATATCAGGTCGTCGGTGCCCCAAGCAAAAGAATCGATTGAGAAGGCAGTGTTATCTTCTCAAATCCGATGGTTATAGGCTTCAGAAGAGCGCCTCACCCACGAACTACTGACGAAATTCCGCATGCAGGACATGCAATAGAATCCGGCGCCCCGCCGCCGGAGGACGTTTTTCAAGGAGGAGCTTTATCCCAGGTTCTCCCCTCCTGGGGTTCCCGTGCTCCAGTCTCGGTAAAACTAGTCTTCAATTGAAACCCTGTCGTTCAGTGAGGCCGAAATTTTGTCGAGATCTCAGCGAAATTGGTCATCGAGAGAGAAGCCTCCGGAAGAATATTAATGAACCCTGTTGTCCTCGCGGCGGACCTGTTCAGAAAGAGTCTCTGTATGTGCGTGTCTTTGAACTCGTGACTTTGCCAGGAATTTCTCACATTCTCACCAAGCCTATAGAGCGTCCTTCGAGCCGAAACTCCGATGCAATCGAGCTTAAGCCTTCCCATGGCTTATCGTGGATAATTCGGTCTAGTGGGAATCCCAGGAGGCGTTCGCTGAGAGCATTCCATCTCGCAACACCCGTGCCTCGATCGTGACAAGGTCACGCTGTCTGGTATATTCCTTGAGGACCTGCCGCCGATCGTGAGCGAGCTCCTTACTCCTTCGCAGCTTCGGGGCTCGGCTGTACGAATTAATTTTATAAAATCCAGTGTTACCAACGGGACACTCTGGATCCGGGGAAGATCCCAGAGTCGAACCAAATCTGTGGGAATAATGATAAAATGATAATGACCGAAAACTCGTGCGCGAGTGAGGGGGGCCGATTCTCGATCGATACTGCGCATCTATTTTTCCGAGCCGAGGATGCTTTGAAAGGAAAGCTCTCGGCCCGGAATTGCGCGCCGACTGGCTCATAGAGGGTGATCACGTCGACGTGGATTCGCTCGATAGGCATGGGTGAGAGGAGCGTGTAATCTCCCTGAAGAATTTCTGATCGGAGTAGAAATGTATCGCAAATCAGGAGACGGGGATGAAAACCAGAGACACATATCGTTGTTCTAGCGGAGAGCAACGGGAGCGTCTTATCCGCGTCGAATTTTCCGAGGTTCCAATTTTTTTCAACAATGGCGCCACTGAGACCTGCGATCAGTGGATTAGTCACGCCAAGCCGCTGTAGCGTTCTGCGCCGCTCCAAGGACGGACCGAGTGGATTGGCTAGTCTTCCGAGTTAGGAATCAGTGACATTTCGACGAATTCGTACCAAGAAGATCCGGAGCATCGAGGATACGCGACCCTCGTTGACTTCCACCAAACCGGCCGTTACTGAGCTCTGTGACTTCTACGGGAGCGAAGATGTTAGGTGGACGGATCAGGTCGAGCTCTGCTTCATTGAAGAGTTTTTTCGAGAAGACGTCACAACCTTGGAGCGATGTTTTCGTGGAGGAAGACTATGGTAGCCGAGTGCTGCAGCAGCTGGACCTGCAACGATCTAAAAATCCGAAGCTGTGCGATATGAAGTTAGTGTCTAGTTTGGACGACGTGGGATTCCCATGTCATCGCGCCATCCTCGCAGGTCAGAGTGAGTTCGTCGAGGAGTTTCTGACAGAGAACGAGCTCGCTTTCGGAGAGAATATTGAGGTTCCTCTGTACAGTGACACGATCCGGGACTTCCTGAGCTTCATCTACAGTGGCTCATTGGACATCGAAGAGTCCAAGTGTTGGAGGCTTTACTCGACCGTCAGGTTCTTTAGGATGAGCTCGACAGCTCTTCAGGAGGAAATTTTCGGAATGCTTGTCAAAATGCTCGCGGATCCAGATTGGGATTTTTTCAACTCTGCCGACTTTCACAACATCGCGACGGCTGACATGCCGCGTGTGTTCGACGTCTTGATGCAGGGAGCCACAAGACTTGGCCCAAGCACTCAGATCCGACTCCTTGAGGCGCTCGGCAAATGGGCAAATATGGACTTCCTTCGTCGGGGCCAACTTTTTCTAGAGATCGATCAGAGGTATCAGTTGTCACTTGATCTCGACTCATAGCAAACGATCATTCGTCTCGTGTTCAAGAGGGAATACAGTTCACCGATCGCCCTGATGTATTCTATGTTCTCGAGCTTGTACCTCAGAGCAAACCAAGAGCACTTTCTCATCGCCCTCATCTCCATTATCTTAATACCTACTTATTCTACTGAATCCTGATTCGAGGGTCGGCGAATCCTTCTTCGTAGGCGGCCCTAGTGTGACCTCACGGACCGATGCAATCGGCGAATCTCGAGGCTGATATTGAAATCGCCGCCTAGCAGCCGCGGGAGGGAGGATTAAGATAGGAAGGAATGCGAGTTCATGGATAATAAAATCATAATTGATCAAATATTCTCGAATATTTTCCTCACACTAGATTTACGCCAGTATATTTTTCCCGGAAGTCGAAATTTCGGTTGATCAAAGACAGGAAGCGCCTTAGTCAGCCACCTCCAGCTCTTTTCAGCTTTTCCACGGCGACCACATTTCGGTCATCGCGCTCCACCCGCTGAACGTTTGAGGCTGTGAGAGATATACCCGTGGGACAGCGGAAAAGTTCCAAGAGACTTCCTAAGAAGGAGAATATCAGCTTCCGCCGTGAGAAGACTCGCTTCCGCCGCGGTTATGCTTGATGCGTGATGTGTGATCAATAGATCAGTGTTTGTGGAGTTTTGATGTGTCCCAAGAGTAGAGGCCAGACTCGTATATGCTTGGAATTTCGGTCGCTCTCAAGTATGAAGGAACTCGACCCGGAAGGCCTCCGTCTATCTCATCGCCGTCCGACCGTCGGAACGGCCGACACGCGGATCCACTATCAGATCAGACAGATCCATCGGAAGTAGCATTGACGTATCGCATTGCCTAGACTTGGAATTCGAGCTTTGGTCATTCGAGCGGCGTCGAAAGTTGATTTGTCGAGCTCATTTGCGCGGTCCCTCGTCTGATTCCTTCTGATCAGTGTATGTGTATCAGAGTATCGGGCGACACGATTCTAACCCGGATGCGACCCCGACCTATCACCGCAATGCTGTCATCAACGAGTGGAGAATTGCTGGAGCTTATCTGATATGAATTCCTCGCCAATGATGAGCCGAGAGACCACCATCCGAATTCGATTTCGTGGTCCCAATCCTTCGTTGTTTTGACTTTCGTTATATTGAGATTGATTCATATCAAATAGAATCTGTTCTAGTCACATGGAGGGGAGAGGTAACTTCGATGGCCCTCGCGTCATCATAGTTTTTCTGTTCAGGCATCTAGCTGAAATCTTCGATTCGCGTTGACACCCCATTCGCCTCGTCACGAGATGTGGAACCGTTGGATGGTATAGAGGAAGGGGGCAATGAGCTTTAAGCTTATCAACATAAAATGTTCGGGATGCCGGCAACAATACCTCAAAAGGAGTGACAAAAACGATCATGATGTCGTTCCCGAAAAGGGCTCTTTGGAGGGAGTGGACGACTATTCCCGCAGAGACCGCTTGCGTTTGCATGTGGTTTTATCTGTTGAGTCTTCCAATAGAAAAGCTTAACAAATCCCGAGAATGCTTCGTCAGTCACACCCAGCTTTGCGAAGAGCTCATACCTTCAACGCTTCAGTTTTAATCCACGTCTCTTCGCTCAATTGCTCACCAATAAGGATGTAAACAAAGTACAATTTCGCCGAAAATTCCATTAGATTCGAAGGATGTAATCCATTGATGTCATGTCGATTCCACCTTCCGGATTCTCGGAAATGAGACCAAGGTTTCGTCAGAGCCTATTCCGCTGGTCGGCGTGACGATCATTTAAACTTGGTTGCGCTGACGAGAGCGAATAGCAGTACGGAGGCTTCGAGGATGTAGGGACGTTGAAAATGCAGGCGGTGCCGAGCTTGCAGCGATTGAAAGGCATGCCGATATAAAACCTGGGGAGGAGGAACGTGAGTCTTCGAAATTAACTGCTGCAGTGCATGGACGATAGAATCACCCACAAATAAATTCCATCGACTCTGAGCCTCGAAACCAAAGTAGAAGCTCAGGCTGGGAACCGTACGGACCTGGGCGAGATTCTGGGATCACAGTCTCCTCTGAGCGCCTTTTTGTATGAATCACATCTGTAACCTCTGAAGCGGCAGGAATTCTTCCTCAAAGCCTCCAGGTAGAGTTCGTGGGCTCGTCTATGGTGACAAATGGTGAAAACCCCTTGAAGGAGAAGATTCATCAGAGCCCCATTTCCAGATTCGGCCCTTGAGGCCGTAGGTCACGGAATACCCGAGGAGATCAACCATCCGATCGTCCCCACGATATCAGCCCACCCGTATAAAGGAATACGTAAGGAATATACGCAGCGAATACAGTACACGATTTCAGATGGTCGTCATCCCGAGACCAGCAGAAAACGATTCTGTGCGGAAAAATGTGAAGACACTGACACTCAGAGCATCCAGGTTGTTGTCGACCACCGTTTGGGTAGAAATCCACGTGACCAAAATTCTTGTCGATACCGAGGCGTCCTTCTGCGTCGTTGCTCAGAGATCCGTCGCTCGCCGAGGTGTGAACAACTTCAAGGAATCGCACATTTTTCTTCGAGGGCATGATTCCCTGATTGACGAATATCGGCGCTGCGGCGTCCAGAGCTGGGAGGAGGGGAATATATCCAGCAGTAGTTCTGGTGGAACCCCATTCGGCATTCGGCCAAGACTCGAGTTATTTGCGTGACCCACCCACGAACTTGGAGATCTTGAGTTTATGTTCCATCAAATATTTCGTGAAGTATCCGCCGATTTGAGCTCCGAGGCTGAAGCCTACGCACTCAACTCGATCAGGATGGATACGGTTCGTAATCATGAGCCGTCGCACGAGTGAAGCCAGAGCGAAACCCAACATGGGTACGTATGATGCTGCAAGTGTGTAGTCTCTGACGAGCGAAATCGCTTTCTTCATACGCGCCCCTTCTCGCCAATCGACGAGCATGACTGAAGTACCGTCTTCTGATGTCCGGAGTCTCGCCATTTCCTGCATCCACCTGCGTTTAAGGTGTGAAGTTTGATCCATGGAAACAGCCACATTGTGAGAAGTTGTGGTGGTTGGCTTTGCCTGCATGGAGTCTTCGCTTCAGTCAATTCAGTAGAGCAGGGTCTAGAGGAATAAAGTGAATCCTACCCGCTATCGGATGTCTCTTTGAAACCATGAATCACAACGACGAGCTTCGCAACTGAGCTCAACATCCTCCGCACACGCAAGGGCTCCGGTCCTCCCACCCTATCCCAATAAATGGTATACATGGGTTCATCAGAGGGCTGGAAAGGATCCTGGTGAGCTCCTCGAAACTCGAAACTCGTTCGCGAGAGTTTCACGTAATCATGAACGTCCTTCGCTTGGTTTCTTCTTCTGTAACCCGACCTCCAAGGGCCGATATCACAAGAAGCAGCACAAAAACCATACCTCATCGTAGAGAAGGAAACGTGGCGAAATCGCATCCAGCTTAGAATACGAGCCCGCTGTGCTGTTATCTGTAATACAACCGAGAACTTTCTTCTCAAGCGTCCCCAGTAAGGCCGCGGCGGGACCAGCCGTGAACAGGAGGATCGCGAAGGATATCCTCTGCACCATGGAGAACAGCCAGTAGATCCTCTGAATGGGAAGCTTCGACGCAGTCCGATGCAAATTAAAGACGCTTGCGAACGGACCTGCCGAACACGATTGACCTTGGATTCTGCGTGACGTCTGTCTATCGTGACGGATATTTCCTTCGGAATCCTCTCTTTCCGATCTGACATTCCGACGCTTTCAGATAGAAAACGCTCCCGCCCCGGAGGAGAGCCCGCCCACTCATCAGGGAGCAGAACTGCAGTAGGGCCTCGTTGTATCCTCAAGGGGTTTCAAGGGAAAACCCGAATCGGTCCTGTGAGTCCAGAGCCCGTTCAATTCGGAGATACGTTCTAAATCGTGACAGAGCGTGAAAATCATCGGGAACACCGCTGCAGCTTCACGAACGACGCGCATAGGCGAAAACCTCCGCAAATAGTCCAACAGGCTGCCAACCTACCAACTAATTGCAAGAAGAGGGACGCTGTGAGTTCTAACTAACGTTGCGATATAAGAGGATACGACCTTTTTCGTCCGCTCCTTGAGGTTCCTCAGAAAATGCTCGCTCTCCGAAATCTCCGAGGAAATACCACTGAATTCGATGGAAGAAATCGAATTTTTGCACTATTTTTTCCTTCTCGGCTGCACGAGCAGGAGCCTGGTGTTGGGTCGGAACCTCTTCCCGCATTGTCTCTGGACGATCGTTTATGGACATCGAAGTTCACTCGCGTGTTGCTCGTGGGGAAAATAGTTGCAGAGGTGGAACAACTCCATGGGGAGGGACATCGGATAGGAGGTTCATTCTCGATGTCCGCTCGTCTACCCGATGTTCTCGCCGACATTGTTCTCTTTTCGGGAAAAAAGGACTTATGATCGATTCGATTAGCATGGGAGGAGATAGGACCGGTGCTCGGAGATCAGTCAGTTATATCCGGAAGTACCTTATTGGGTCTGCTCTGGCCGAGTCACTAATAATTGAATGTCCGATGGGCTCGTCCGGTATCAAGCGATCGGTCCGTCATATCCGGTTCCGTGATAAAGAGAATCTATATCGCTGCATACTGCATGCATTTTATCGATCATATCATATCGAGGAGGGTGATGCCGAATTCGAAAGTCGTTTCTCTAGCTCCGCGAGCGAGGACTTGACATCTCTCACTATCATGTCTCCCGCTGGTCCGGCTAGTTCTTTCGAAGTCGTCCGGGGTTGGGGTCCGAAACGCAAGTGGGATGGCGGAACGTCTCAGACCTCGGTCATTCTAGGGTGCTACTTGGATTGGCAAAAAAATTACTATTTATTTCGCCTTGGCGTTCTTATTCCAGATGAATAAAGGTGCGAGATCGAAGGTGAGGGGGTTCACCGTTGGGGGACTGCGATTCCGAGCCTGGCGGGAGGTTCCCCTCAGAGATGACGTGATGCGTACAGGTAGGAAAAGTTGGGTCCGAGCTTCCCCACCCGAGCCTCCGCTCCGGTCTCTGTCAGCCGGGATATTTATTTTCAAGTGTCAAGACTTGAAAAGTCAGACCAACCATTGTGGAGCAGAACTTCTGGACAATCTGATTGTCGCAGCCTCTTGGAATTTCATCACCCACACCGTAACCCGTTCTCGGGGGCTCAAGGGTTTCGCGGGCCTATAGCAGACAGAGGCCTTCATCAGAAAGAATACGGTACGGACATTTTCGAGAGAAATCTTGGCTGAACAGTCGGTGCCCCAATCTGATTCGAGAGCGGGGGAGTCGAAGAATATGCGACTCACGAATAGTCGAATAGTCGATTCATCCCTGCGTCGCTTGAGCAGTATAGCACTCATGGATTCCGGGAGCCGCCTTCGCCGGGAGTACGCTATGCCGCCGGACCATGAACTTCGGCAAATGATCCGGGAACTCCTCGTCTTCCGGGAACTCCGCTCTGCGGACTTCTAAGATCACTGAGGAGCAAGAATTAAACGACAACTATTCTCCATCATACTCCTCCACCGGAACAGATTGAGAGAGCGCCCTGGCTCCCACGGGATCGATGACCTTAAACTCCCCCTTTCACCTCATCTGCCGTTCTCCACAGGGGAGCGTATGCGGCGCCATCACTTCTGGAAAAAGCAATCGTTTATTGCATCCCGTTTTGAGGACGTCGGTAAGCTTTTTCGGATTTTATCAATATGGGGCGAAATGTCCACGAATGGTTTCAATCGAGCCACCTCCGAAATAAATTTATTCACCGGATGAGGTACCGGAATGCCCCGTCGCGACCGAATAGCCCCTGACTGTTTCCCTTCTTCTCAAACATAATCTACACCACATAACTCCGGTATTACCGACAATGAGTGATGACGACCCCACGCCCAGACAGAGGGAGGACCCACGCCTAGGAAAAGGAAGAACCAACGCCTAAGAAGACGGAGAGCCCACGTACCCAAGTCCTGAAAAAGTACAACGCCCTAATCAGACAAGAGGTATGCCTCTGTGATTCGGGGGTCCAAGACGATTTCTCCCACAAATCTAGACTGACCAGTCCTCGATTGATTAATCAATGGACTCTCGGAGATTCGGCGAAGACGGCAGGATCTGTAGAATTGAGAATTTTGAGAATAAACATTGCGAACTTTCCTCACCTCGAGGTCCTTCGAGGAACGCATAATACGGCTCACCGCTAAGGGGAAAGGTCTATCGGACTTGCGCGTTGAAGGCGCCCTGCAATGCGTTCGAAGGGAGGGAGAAACGTTGATCCTGACACAGGCCTCGCGCCTAGCTCCGTGGCGAGCCCGAGTCCGCGCGACTCGTTGAACGGAATGGTTTCGCCGGGAAATGTTTTGAATCCCGCGCGCCCACTCTCCTCTCCTCCTCCTCTAATCCTCTCATGGTGGCTCGGTCTGTTGTTGCGAGAGAGATGTGTGTTGTATACACCCTGCGGCTGCCGCCGCTGCCTCTGCTTTCACTCTCTTGCTCGTAGCAGAAGAATTCTGTCAAACAAAAGGAGAGATGAGAAGTACTAGTGGTAGTGTTGTTGTCGACGTTCGGATTTGTGAGTGTTTTGTTTTCGCAGCAGTACCGCAATTCGAAGAAACCTGTTTTCAAATCAACGCGGTATCGGCTTAAGGTAACTAAATCAGCGATCGCAAGCGAAGCTTATCAGGGTAACACACACCCGAATCCGTTCCCGTGGAACGCGTATAGAAGGGTCCCTCACGGAAGAACCGGTCGTTCGTTCGGAGTGTAGTCTCCCCGCAAGTATGCGTTCTGGAGTAGGGATCGCTGACCAGCTGACCATCGGATTCATGGAACGCTTCCCCTGTCCTCCGCCACCATTCGTGAGATGTTCCCGCACTAGAGTCTGACGAGTCGAATTTTATCTTCTTGTCACACACGGAGTGAGCCGCAGACATTCCTTAGCGATGATGGAAACGTTACGCTCACTCCGCGGTCACCGATGCGGTGTAGGAACGCGATCAGGAATCGATGAGACCACAAGTGAAACAATGAAAGAGATACTTTCGAAATTCCTCGATCGCATACGTTTCCCTGCGACCGAAATCGCGACTCTCTGAAGCGTACTTTGGCATGAGGGCAGGCGGTCGTGGACTATTGTTCTCGTGCATTTAATGAATCCATCCAGGATCATGAGAAGCCTTTGATCATGCGTCGCGACAATAAACTGCTGTGCGTGGTCACGCCTATACGCTCCGATCCGTCTACGTTCTCGCTGTTCATGTTCGCTCTACTCATCGAGACGCTCGCACCAGTTGCCGAATAAATTGGACGCTCAAGCGTCAGTCAGCTGACAGGCGCCGGATTCTCGGCTATCGGCTAGACTCGGTCGAGACACATTCGAAAAGGCATCGGGTGTCCTGCTCGAGGGAATATCTATATTCTCTCACCACGATATCATTAGAGAATAGATTGAATTTGCCATCATAGAATCACGTAGGATGGATCGCTGCCCGGATGGGGTCCCCGATCGATCTGTTCGATTGAGCCGCCCGCTCCTGTCGTCAGAGACACGGCTGATTCATGACTGACTGAGACGTGGCTCCCAATCAGTAGGTAGATGGCATAGAAACCGGGCAAAATGACCAGTCTCCGCGACGGAGGAGGGGCTGAACTTTTCTCGAGCGATCGGACCGTTGGAAATAAGCTGATATTCGCTCTTCAATTCTCGTGTAGAAAATCGAAGGATATCAATCATGCGTTCTTTCCAGCCGCTCTCTAGAGCCGCCACCATGAAGTGGACCCCGGTCTCCGACAAGCACAAATATGCGGTGGCCATCGCGAATTTCTTCTGCCAACAGGACAAACCCAACAGACTACAGCTGACCGTGGGAGAGACTGTTCACATCCTCGAGGAGAATGGAGATTGGTACGTCAGTTGGGTCCGGAGAAATTCCGGGAAATCGAATATGGATACTGCCCCGAGATTCTCATTGGCGCCGCCGACAACCCGATGAATTTTCACGTCCCGCAGGTATTATGGGGCCAACATGCGGAGCCGGAAAGTCCGAGGGATCTTCCCGAAGAGCTACGTCGCCCTCAAAGAGTGTCACGTTGACAAAATCACCACGGTGGAAGAGGTGATACCCAAAGAGCCGGCAATAATAAAAGAGATAACTGCGGTGAGTACTTCGGACATACTGTAAATCAATCGTGCCGAAAGCGGCAGATTGCCAGATTCTAATACTAGAGATCGGTTTCTCCACTGCTTCCACTCTGAACTCAAGCGCCTCCTACTGAATTCTCGAAAATTCCTCCAGGTCCTACGAGAATGGGAACCGCTGTGGGAGCAACTGTACCTAAGGAACCGAACTTCTTTCGATACCGTCCGCTCGTACATTTTCGAGCTTGTGGACGCGCGCCGGAAAATTCTCAGCGGAACACTCCCAATGGACGAGCTGCGCGAAATCAAACAGAAAGTAATTTCCCGAATCGAGATGGGAAACGCGCTCCTCGACCTGGACATCGTTGTGCGCGACAGCAACGGTAATTTTCCTGCGAAGTTCAAGACAGGTATTTTTCCCGGTACGTGACGGCTTCTCATTCAGTCTCATGTCGGATGGGGATTTTATCTTACAGGGAACATAATGAATCCAAAGTATACGTCGACCATCGCGGTTCATCGCGCTCATCTCGAAGCTTCAGAGCGGATCGCGTTGCAGCGGAGCGCTCAAGCTCAGAAACAACAGGACCCGTACAACGCAATCGGTGTTTACAATAGAGCATCGATGTCGGCGACATACTGCCACAACCTAATGGTCATTTTCCGGCGATTCGAGGGAGGCAAAATAAGCGACGATGTGGATCTAATCATGTCCCTCTACGATCCGCGAGAGGGTCGTTTCATTACGGAAAACTACGTAGTCCGGTATGTTGATCTTTCCAAACGGATGCCTAGCACACAAGAGATTTCAGGGAGCCGGTGCATCGCTGGGACAACTGTCGGCGTCGTGGCGCAGCTCGATTAGGAACTGTCTCGCTCATTGCAGGTGGACGAAAACGAGCCAAGCCAACACTTTCGATTATAATTCGATGCGATGTCTCTTCACCGATCTCGGGAGCCGAGACTTGAAGCGGGACAGAGTGTGCTTCGTTTGCCAAATCGTTCGGATCGGTCCGATGGAGATGAAAGATCCCGAGGCTCGGAAGAGTGCCAACATCACCATGGGTAATCGCTGAGTGATAGATACTCTTGATGTTTCGCTATGGCGTGCCGAGACCCCGCTTCGGCTCCAGCCGATTTCCTCTCAGCAATCCGTACTCATGCTCCATCGCACCGCTTTCAGGGAAGCCGAAAGTCGAGGCCGGAGACATGCGTCGGCCTTTCGGTGTCGCTGCTCTGGACATCACGGCCATCCTGAAGGGTCAGCAGGAAGCCGATGAAGACAAACCGTCGTTCGTGCCCTACGTTCCTTGTGGTGAACACGATTTCCTCGACAGTCTGATCAAGAAAGTTTGCACCATGAAGGAAGTTACCCAGAAAGAGCAAAAAGGTAAATCTCGTTCTGTAGTCAAGGAGTCGCGCTGATGAGTGAGCAGACGTCTATAGAGTTTTCAATTGACGTTACAGGGCTGTACCTCTCGTTCAAAGCTCTCAGAGGTGATTTGAAAACCGTTCGAGAAGAAAACCCACATCTCGTTTCGGCTACCACATTCAAAGCGCGGAAAATGGGTTTTCCGGAAATCATTCTACCAGGCGATGTGAGGAACGACCTATATCTCACCGTAGTGCAAGCTGAGTTCGCTCGAGGGGGCGTCAAAACCGGAGGGAACATCCAGGTGAGGATGAAGTCGGAAGCGATGAGGAACTTGGACTTACGCAGTTTTTCCTTGATCCTCCCCGGATTGCGCGGCGATTCTCAGAGAAAGCCGAGAATCAGTGCCTTCACGCAGAGTTCCAGTGGAGCTCAAGTTATGGAGCGACTACTCTGGGCCGGTTGTGACGGTCTATCGATAGATTCACGGCCAGTAACCTCTTTCAAGTCGAATATTTCGACAGCGAGCCTAGTTTCAGAGCTAGAAAGGAGACTCGCTCGATCTCGGTGGCATCGAATGCCGGGCTCCGAGCCCTAACCTTACGGGTATTCGTCCTCGTCCAGGGGTTGCAAGCCGGTCAATGAGCGTTATGTGAGGCTGGCTTTGCCGACACCCTAACAACAATTTAGCGAGTGCACTACTTCTTGTGCTCGCAATTTTTGGAGCCCTCCGGGTGCTCCGATAATCAAGGCGAAAGTTAGAGGGGTCAATGATAGCCGACTTGACCGGATTTCGACTGTAGATATTCGGGGTAGATATTCCCGAAAGGTTCAGGAGCGAGCGGAGCTATTGAGAGTTTTTGCTCCGCAAGGACATGCTACTAAACAGAGGCTTCACTTACAGGTCACCGTTCGCGTATGCGACGAGAGAGGAGATTTGCTGCAAGGGGTCATATCTGTGGGTGCTGGAACCGAGAACCTCTCTGAATATCAGACGGTGATCTACTATCACGAGGACAAGCCCAAGTGGAGTGAAACGTTCAAGGTCGATGTCCCGATCGAAGATTTCTATAACGCTCATCTGAAGGTGATTAAAAAAAAGTCCCCACTCATTTGCGTATTCGAGTCGAATCAATACGACAGGACTCGAAGAGGAAACCGCCTCCCCCTTTCTAACATTCAACGCTCCACAGTTCACCTTCAGACACCGATCTTCGAACGAAGCCAAAGACAGAACTGAAAAACCTTTCGGTATGTCGTTCGTAAAGCTCATGCAGCCGAACGGGACGACTCTCAACGACGAGATCCATGATTTGCTCATTTATCGTATCGATAACAAGAAGTTCATCGACAACGACGCTTCGTACCTGGGTTTACCTTCTACGAGGAGCGAACTGGCTCAGGTGGATATTCCGCGCGATTTACGCTCAATATTCGCTTCCATGCCCGCCTTAGATCTCGAGCTCGCACCAGGTACGCGAGCTAAAGCGAGGACCAATAAAATTGAATTTTTGCTCCCCGCAGATGCAATCCAACCAGTCGGCGATCGGAAACAACAAATTAGGTCTCTCGCTCTCGCCAAAGGACTATTTCCAGATTTCTACTCTGGTTTGCTCCACAAAATTGACACAAAACGTCGACCTTCTGGGCCTGCTCAAATGGTTCGATAATAAGGCCGATCTGCAAAGGTGAGGTTCTTGACTTCATGCTCGATTCTGTGTCCGGACTCGAGATTTTTCTTTTCCTGACACCAGGTCGACATCGGGAATGATCTTGGTCTGGGCCAACTAACGCCTTCCATCCTTTCTCTGTACAAGAATTTGGTATTTAGAATGCTTTCGATCATTACTTCCTCGGGATGATAGGGAGCCATCAATTATACTATGTTAATTGTACTGTGTTCCCACGATGAACATACGTTCAACTTCCGGAATCGAATACTTCGTCTTCCCTCTCGCGGGATCGAACTAAGATCTAAATCTGACCCTCCCTAGGTACCTGATGGCACTGATGAAGGTAGACGGCGAGGAAGTCGTCAAGTTCCTTCAGGACATCCTCGATGCTCTATTCACTATCCTGATGCAGAATTCAGACACGGACGTATATGACAACCTCGTCTTCGAGTGCCTTGTCTTCCTGATCGGTCTCATTTCCGATCGAAAGTACCAGCACTTCCGACCCGTATTGGATCTGTACATACAGAAGAACTTCAGTGCCACCCTGGCCTACAAGTGAGTCAGCTGATTCCGCGCTCCGTTCGATTCTGCTCCTGTTCCTATCGAGATTCCATCCAATTCAGTGACTATTCATTCTGAGAATTCGGAAATCCCTCAGGATGGTCCTTGTGCCCCCTTTAGAGCGAGATGGCGGACGCGGTGACTGACATTTCGTTTCTACGTTTCCACAGCAAGCTCATCATCGTTCTCCGTTACTACGTGGAACACCTATCGATGAATTCCCTAAACGAGCCCCAGGGCGGCATACACCTTCGCGCAGTGAAATCGTTGGAGTACCTGCTGAAGTTCATCGTGCATTCTCGCAAGCTGTTCGCACACCTCAACGAGGACAACGACGCCGAGTCGTTCGAAGAGTCTCTCGACTCTCTTCTGTGTTCCATAACGACGTTGATGAACTACAAATCCGAGAACGTCACGGAAATACAGGACGCCTGCTTGAAGTATTTCCCTTGCGTGATATCCGACGTTCTGGAAGTTTTCGACGGACCGAAGCTGGCAGATATCGTCACCAACTTGATCAATAGCGTACCGCCGGGACGTCTCATGGCACAAAAGCTAACCTGTATGAAAGACGTAATCAAATCGCGTTTATTCGAGAACCCGGACGGTCGGGCGATTCTGCTGCCGTGCTTCTGTCGGCACATCAGAGCTTTGCTCGATCATTTCGACTGCGAAGACCTCCGTCGGGTCGACATGCAGCGCTTGCAGGAATTCGAGCTGTGCATAGAAACTAGTTCGGAAATGCTTCTCTTCCTCTACGGGGTGGATAACACCTCCAGCGATGTATCGTGCGTCATGATGTCCATACTGCGCAGTGTAATTCAAACCGTAATCCGACTTGACCGCAGTTCTCATCTTGTGGGGAACGTCGTCGCTCTGATGATCGACATCTTCCGTCAGATGAACGACTTCCACTTCAAGAACTATATGGCTCACTTCCAGACGGACGTCGATCTCACGGATTTCCTCATGGAAATCCTCCTCGTCTTCAAGGATCTCGTCAGGAAGACGGTCTACCACCGGGACTGGTGCGACATGATCATGCTGCAGAACTCCGTGACGCTAACGTGCCTCCGACACTTTTCGATAGCGATCAAGGAGCGCTTCCTGCGGAATTTCGATGAACAGGTTTGGAACAATTTCTTCCATTGCGCGATCGCATTCATGACTCAGGAGTCCCTCCAACTGGAGCAGTTCTCTCCAAACAAGAAGGACAAACTGATCCTGAGGTACAAGGATATGCGTCGCGAAACCGGTTTCGAAGTCCGCTCGATGTGGTTCTCTTTGAACGAGCACAAAATTCGTTTCATTCCCGCAATGGTCGGACCTTTCCTAGAAATGACCATGATCCCCCAACTGGATCTGCGGAAGGCGACCATACCGATATTCTTCGACATGATGCAGTGCGAGCACTACAGCACGCTCCCTCTGGACGGAACGTATCTCCAGACGGGCATCAAGGGGAATTTCGGGCTTTTCGAAAACGAGTTCATCACCAAACTCGACGTCTTGGTCGAAGGAGGCAAGGCCGACTGTGAATACCAGAAGCTTTTCACCGATCTCATGTCCCGGCTCGTCGAGAACCAGTCGGGACTCTACATCAGCGGCACGCGTTTTGTTAAAACCGCCGGCGGCCTCATGGATCGACTTCTGCAGTACCGATCGATCGCGAACGACGAGAGTAAAGAGAATCGAATGAGCTGTACGGTGAACCTGCTCGAGTTCTACAACGACATCAACCGGAAGGAGATGTACATCAGGTACCTCCACAAACTGTGCGATTTGCATCTCGAGTGCGAGAACTTCATAGAAGCCGGATTCGCTTTGAAACATCACGCGAAACTACTCAACTGGAGCGATGACGTACTGCCGAACATGCTCCGCTCGTCTAAGTATCCGCACTGCGATACTCATCGCGAGCTGAAAGAGCATCTGTATTACGATATCTTGGAGAACTTCGATAAAGGCCGACTCTGGGAAGCCGGACTCGGCCTCTGCAAAGAACTGGTTGCACTCTACGAGAACGAGACGTACGACTACAATCAGCTCTCGCTGCTTCACGGAAAAATCTCCACTTTTTATGACAACATTATGAAGGTTCTCCGACCGGAGCCCGAATACTTTCGGGTCGGCTACTACGGTCGAGGGTTCCCGGCGTTCCTGCAGAACAAGGTCTTCGTCTACCGGGGCAAGGAGTACGAGAGACTGGCGGATTTCTCCGCACGTCTGTTGAACCAGTTCCCGAACGCCGTGCTTTTCACCAAACTCACCGAACCTGACGATGAAGTCACAAAAAGCAATCGGCAGTACCTGCAGATCAATCACGTCGAGGCAGTAATGGCGCATCAGGAACGTTTCAGAGGAAAGTTGGTGCACGACCACATTCTCAAGTATTACAAAGTCAACGAGGTGAAAGAGTTCACCTTCGATCGCCTGATGCGTAAAACGCCATCGGGTGGCGGTGGCAACGACAACGACAACGAGTTTGCCAACATGTGGGTCGAGCGGAAAAGTTTGGAAATCGCCCATCCTCTGCCGGGTCTGCTGAGGTGGTTTGCGGTGATCAGGACCAAGACCGATGAGGTCTCGCCCATCCAGCACGCCATCGAAACGATGGAGAAGACCAACTACAAACTCATCGAGAGCATTCAACAACAGAAATGCGACAGCTCCACACCGCTGAGTCCGTTCACCATGAAACTGAGTGGAATCATCGAGCCTGCCGTCAACGGGGGAATAGCCAATTACGAGAAGGCGTTCTTCACCGAAGAGGCCATGCGTAACATGGAGCCTAGGGATTTGGATTTCGTTCCGATTCTGAAGAAGACTATCGCGGCGTTGGTTCCGATTCTAGCTGAAGGACTCCGGGTGCATAAAATGCGGATGCTCGACAACATTCGACAGCATCACGAACACATGGAGAACTGTTTCGGAAAGCTCAAAGAGCACATCGAACGCCAGTACGGCATAGCGAGCCTTCCGCCAGAATTGAGCGATTCCAACCCCGGCATCCGCGGAATCAGGAGCCTGATTTCGCAGCCGCCTTCAATCCGCTCCGAAAACGAGAGCCTCTCTAATTTCGGCTCGACCGATGGAAACTCAAAACAGAACTCGCGTTCGTGGATGCCCAACCTGACGCTTTCGCGAAAATCTCGCGAAAGTCGCGAGCGGGAAAGTAGTGTCTCGGCCATAAATCGTCGCAATTCCGGAGCGCCCAGCGACAACGGCTTCGAGGTCGAATCGATCGTCGGGAGCAACCACGAACTGAAGAGTAAAAATTCCAATTCCACTCATAGCCTGAGTTCGACGTCGATGGAATTCGATCGGAGCATTATCGAACTCAGCGAACCCCTGGTCACCCAGAGACCTCCGCGGGCCGAGCAGGAGAGACGGAGCAGACCCTCTTCAGCCCAGTACACTCGAAACCCGTTGAGTCCGTCCATTGTAGACAACAACGGCTTCTTCCTGGCGCATCAGGACAGTCTTCCGGCATCGTTCGCCGCCGACGAATCCCCGCCGCCTCTGCCCATGAAACAGAACAGCGTCGACTGTTCGAGCGTCGTCGTGAACGATGACGGAGTTGCCCTGAGAAAATTGCCGCCCAAATTGAAACCCCCGCCATTGCCAGTCAAAGAAATGTCAGCATCGCCAAAAAAGTGAATAATTGTTCTTCTGAATGAACCTTCAGCTGAATAGATCCCGAAGGGAAGATCGGGAAGCGCTTGCAGGTCATCGATGCGGTGCCTTGGTCGACAAAGGCACCGCCGCCACTGGAGCGGTCTGTGATGAACCGGACGAATTTTTTCTACTTTTGCGCCATCCCGTTCCGCGAGCACGGAACAGACCTATTTTACCGGAGAGGAATTTTGTGATTTCTTAAATGAGTGCTCCCCTCCACTTGACAGTAGCGGCTCCAATTATGCAATCACCATTTTTCCCGATCATACCGAGCGGAGCACTATTTATAAGGAGCAAGTTGTCCGAGCAATAGTTTTCGTCGCTATACGATTGAGGTATCCTTGAATTTCGAGTCGATTTCTCTCCGCCCCGGAACAGCTCCCGGAAGCAGGTCTCGAAACGAACTAACGTGACCGGGAGATTTTACTAGTCAAGAAGCATTTCAGTTCATTCTGGGGACGAAGTGTGAGAGATCGATCGGTCGATCGATCGAGCCACCACTGCGCTTGGTACCGGGAGCTCCTATTTCTGGAGATATGCCCGTGATGCATTGACGTACCAATTATTCTGTTGGTCATATTATTCTTATTATTATTCTTATTATTATTCTTCGGTGGGAATACTTATGGATCACTTGACGGAACGTAAAATTGTAAATCTAGGAACAGAGATGTGCCAATGGACGATGAGGACCAGTCTGCGTGGTTCCGATACCAATGTATATTCAAGACTGTGAGAGCAAAAAGTATATGACGCGTGGATCATCTGAATAAATCTCTTACCACAAACAATTAGTATCGAGCGAGGCGAAGAACGCTGAAGAATTGAGTCCGCGCTTGTGATTTCGAAGATTTTTGGAATAAATTAAAACTGCAATAATTGACTATCCTTCGACAAGATGGTCTTCTTTAATTCGTATCCTTGGAGGACGTTTGATTGAAATTTTTGGAGCCTCATGCAGCCGTGGGTTTGAGACTGGCCATCGATCGCAGGTCCGGCAAGCATCTCGAGAGATCAACCGAGCTATCGAACCCATGGATTATTCGACTTTTGATCTCGGAAACTCCACTCTAGTCCCAAACGTAGCATCAGCTGTGGATTCCCGGGATTTATAGCGCGGTTTCGATGCGAGCGTCGAGCCCGAATGAGGCCTTCGCACGCCGGATCGGGGAGATGTGCATGTCGTCGCGGGGCGCGCGAATATTATTTGTCATCTTGATGCGGTAATTCGTTCGAAGATATCGTAACCTCGTGATTTCAGTTTCCTCTTGAGGATTTTAGCCGTTTTTAAAAAGGAAACGAACCTCCTAATCATGTCTCGAATTGTGAGTAGAGCTCCGCTTCTGACTTGCTGAATACGGCAGAGACCTGGTGTTTCTCAGCGCCTAAAACAATCAGCAACAGCAGTAATGATCGATGACGATTCGAGTCCGTCCCCTCATAACTTCTGCCGCCCTACTCGAGGGCATTTTCTTACGCGAATACGCTTCCGTGTAGTCCAAGAAACGATCGAAACCGCCGACGGAGAAGCCGCCTTCGACAGGAATGCCCGCGCCTCAAATCGAGAACCACGACGAATTTCCGTCCTTGAGTGAGGTTAGTCTGACCCTCTCGCGATCCGGCCCCGACTGCGTGCCTCAAGTTCGTGACAGAAGTCTTGATGATTTTCGCTTCCTTTCGAAGGCTCTACCGGGAAAAAGAAGTGCGACTCCTGCACCGGATTCATCGAAAATGCCCGAGAGAGAGGTCTTGGTGAGTAGTAATTCCCGCATCTTTTCAGCCTCGGTTATTCATAAGAGAAGAAAAATTGCCGTCTTTTCAAATAAGTACAATGCAGTCATGATAAATAATCCTGAATGCGCTGCAAGGCAGAGGAAGCCGTCTGCGTCGATGGCACTACCTACTATATCCAAGCCGGCGCGGCCCTGTGTGGAATTCCCGACGCAATATCGCCGATCGCTCTTGGCTCGTCATATACAACACAGAAGGAAACGTCGGGTCATAGACAGTTCCCTGGCAGGGCGTACTCCCTGTACGAAGGGAATCTCGAGTATCCCACGGTATTCCTTCCCAAGAACCTCCGTCAGGTGGGTCTGGTTCGCGAATGTGCAGATGGCCTTCCTGTTTATCTGTCCATTCGAGTGACTTGTTGACCAGCCGTCTTTCAGTCAGCCAGTCAGAAAGTCTGTCAGTCGCTCCGACCATCTGTCTGTCTATCTGTCTGCATGTGTCTCGATCGGTCTTTCCGTTCCCCGCTCACTCGGCAAAGAGCACGACGGCGATAAAATATTCACCAAGGCTGATCGAATGTAGCGATGCTAACGTTAAAGTTTGATTACTTGCTTCATTAGGCCGTATACGAACGTCTGGACGAGTACCGTTCGTATTTGTTCTTGCCGGATCAGCAGACCTGGACGCTTTGCGATAACTTCCAGATTTACGGGAGCATGGAAAAGCAAAGCGGATTAGTCCACGGCAAGAAGAACCTGGTGTACATATCGAGGTATGAGCTCGAATGAATAGCAGTAGGGAGGTTCGCGCGATCGTTCCGGTTTTTGCCGGCGGGAAAGCAAGGCACATGAATGCCACGCAGAGCTCTATGGATCGAACGAGAATGTCGACAGGGAAATCCTGGGCTCGATGACGAGGTGTACAGATAGCATCACGATCCCTCATTCGACACAGCATCACGACTCGTTGTCCCTCGACAGGCACCGCGAAAACGGAGACTTCTACATAATTCGTCGATTGATCGATTTCGTTCTGAGGAACCAGAGAGCTGTCAACATCGCCAGCAAATGGCAAACTGTGGGTTCAGGCCACCGGCACTGGTCTTCATGGAAGGAATAGAGAGTCTCGAGTACATTGCATCGGGGGCAATAAGCTCCGTAGGCGGGACTATATCTCTCATGGCTGCTGATCGGTTTCCAGATCGACCACCCGAACGTGGTCCGCTTACATTCCGTCACGACGACCCGGGCTTTTACCGATCAGTCCGTGCTCTTCGCTTACGATTTTTATCCAAATGCTATGACTTTGGAAGCATTCGTTCAAAACGAGAGTTCCCTACTCAGTGAAGATGTTATCTGGTCATTTATCGTGCAGCTGGTTTCCGGTCTCAACGCTATCCACAGCGCGGGCTTATCTGCGAGAATCTTGGAAGAGAAGCGCGTCTTGATCACCGGTTTGGACTCTTGTTCAGTGAAGATAGACTGCGTAGCGATGGCTGATGTCATCGAAGTGAGTCACGCTTACTGAGCTTCCATTTTTGCCATGCTTTCTTGGATATTTTTCATGCCTCAAGGTTCCGATTTCGATGTCGCCTAACCGCAACGATCAATCCGTTCCAGATAGCGGACGTGCCCCAATCCACATTTGCAAGGTGCTTCCTGGGAGACCATCGAGCCAAACAAGAAGACCAAGAAGCCGATTTTCTCGCTCTGGGATCTCTTGTGCATTATATGATCCATAATTGCTCTGATGACGTGTCGAATGAGCTTGTCCAGTTTGGGAAAGCCTTAGCAGACGGTGAGCTCAATAGATTGCCCACTAGATCCTGACTCCTTCATGATGATGATTCATTCGATAATGAACTCGATGGAAGCAGACGGCTGGGGAGTTCGATCTTCGGAGAATTTCTCCGATTCATCAATCCTTGCTTTGCATCATTTATTAATCGTTTTGCAGGATCCATGTGCACAATGAACAAGATCATCGCGAGCCTGGGCACTCGGGTTTTCGAGTACATGACCCTTTGTCAGACCCAAAAGGGTATCCTAGAAACGGAACTCGCCAAGGAGATAGATAACGGTCGCCTGTTCAGAGTTCTGGTGAGAAAAACTTCTCCGCTCCCATCTTATTCCTCTATGGAGAAATTCGTCATTCGAACGCTGGTTGAGAAGGTCTTCTTTTCTCGGCGCGTTTCAGTACCGATTCTTCGACAAGGTCGGGAAGTACGATGAGCAGTTCTCCGGCACTGATGGCGCCCAAGCACTGCAAATGTTCAAGAACTACTTGCTCAGCCGCAAGACCATGTACGAAGTCGTCAGTGGTCTCAACAAGGTGAGGTCTCACTGCTTCATGAGCGGCTCTTGTTCCCTCTATCTGGATCTCATGATCACGGTCTGTCGATTCGTCGCTATTGATCGTAGATCTCAAGGTACAACGAAGCCAAGTTCATATCAGCCTGCATAACAATGTCTCTCGACAGCTCGACGCCGGCGTTCGGGAAAAAATCCGATTGGAATCCTTCGCGGAGAGCACAGTCAAGTTCGTGAGCTACGCGGAACTCCGGCAGATCATGGAAGATGATCAATTCATGACGTCCCCTTTTTTCTATCCTTTGAGCGTTTTTAATGATAGCGGCCTCATGGGCTGATTACTGTCCACTATCTGCCAGTTCTAGAGATCAGTGTACAACCTCAAATAAACTCAACGGTATTGGCACTTCTATAAGTCTTCACCATCGAACCCCGAGCGCAGAAGATATCATTATGTTTCGCTCTGAAAACCGGGGCAGATATCGATTTTTTCGAGCTGCTCCGCATTCTTGTCGTTACTCTTAAGCTCCCACCTGATTGGTTTGTGTAGAAGCACTCTCTCGAAGTCGGATTCTCGGAAGGATGTCAGCTTCCAAGGCAGCCCGGCTCTCAACAAACTAGGAGAGTGCCAACGATTGTGATAATCCCTAGTTTTATTTTGTGATATTCCATCTTTCGAGAAGAAAACAAGCATACTCTTCCCAAGCGGTATACTCACTGTAGCTGGAGATTGAGGCTCGTTCCTACTACGGAAACGAGTCGCATCGCTCGACGTTTATAATAATTATTATCTCATTTATTTCTGACTCCACCGCTGGAATGCATTTACAGAGAGAAGTGAGAATATCTGGGAACGGCAACAGATCAATAATTCAGCACAGTCAGCCGTCCGTCCGTCCATCCACCCGGAGTGGCTTATTCTCCAATTTAACAATTGCAAGGCTTGCAGTTGTACGTTCCGTAGACGTTCTGGCATATCTCTTGAGGCCCGCACGAATGCGTTCGGAGCGCGCATTCATCGATGTCTTGAAGAGCGGAGACGGAGGAAACAAATTATTTCTCCAATCAGAGTATCGGCGCTTTGAAGAATCACATCAGGCGGGAGGGACCGATTCAACTTTCCCCGATTGGGGATCCACGACCATTCACTCACCGTTACACCGCCCGTATTCGTCGATCTGAAAGCCTACGCCACAGCTCACAGCGCTGTCCACGCATCGGTAGTGGCAGTTCTGATCGTCGTAGGTACATCTTTCAATTGGGTCGATGCACGTAGTTAGCGAAGTGTTGCTGCAGTCATTGGGTCCGCACTCTAGAGAGAAGAAAAGTTTTCGAAAACACCAGCATCGACAGATTTCCATGATCCTTGCCCTTCAGCGAAGAAGTTCGTGCTCCTGCGTCCTGTTCCAGTACTCACTCTTCTTGATTTTTGGTGACTTGCTCCCTTGACAGCAGGACATGTACGCCTCACGCGCGAGAAGGGGAATCTCGGGAGGGAGCTCATCGCACGACATTTTGAGTCTCTCTCTCTTCAATCCTGCGCGGCACCAGTTGCAACAGGCCTGAGCGAGAGAAAGTCCGTGGTGTACTACGGTGACAGCTCCGGATTGACCGAAAACACGAACAGCCTCCCTACCGAAATTCTTCAACTGCTCCTCTCGAAGGTACTCACCCTTGCCGTCAAATCAGTTTGATAGGAGCACGTTGCTTCGGCGCTCGCAGACTTCACACCTTGGTCACAATGGATTTCTCTCTGCGGAAGACCAAAATAATCGGTGTCAGTCTGCTCGGTAATTTCACGTTCAAAAAATAGCTTAAGTCGATGAAGCTTTTTGTTACGAGCCTGGACCTTACCTCAAGCGTTTCCTCGCAGCATGAAGCTATCGAGATCGAGCATGTGATGTTTGAGAGCCCGAGGGAGACAGGGACCCTATTCCGAAGCATAGCCAGCTTCTCGGCCTTGCACGAGTGCCGAGAGCGCGCGAACTCTTGTCCGAGAAGACAGCATTGCTCCAAGTACGGGAGGAGATTCTCTACGGCTGGAAATGGAATCGCACGGGGTTGAATGACCTTATCGAAGAGTATGAGCACCTCTGATGACAGCTTCTACCCCTAGATCTCTTGAATTTGAGACTCTAGTTCCGAAAATCGCCGCATAGGGAATGACGATTGGGGAGTCCATGAATGAAGAAGAAAGACAGTCGAGTGTAGAACGGCTTCGAGGAAATCTTACGAGCATCATCGTCTTCCACGCCCAGTGCACAATCGTGAAACAGACTTGACAACAACACAGACAGCGCTACAGCCTTGCTGTACATCTTCCGGCCAACAAATGGCACTTTCCTTTGAGATCAGGGCATGCGGCCGCAGATCCCGGCCATTCTTTATCATGGAGAGAGGGTTGACAGGCTTGCCGGCTATGCTTACGCCCGCTCGCCCATCCGTCTGTCCGTCCGCCCGCCTGACTGCCCGTCTGAGAGAAGCCCTGCATGGAGTTGAATCAAGGTCGGCTACCGTCGACGTTAACTCGGCGGCTTCAACGCCAGTTCCGTGAAATCGGGCACTCTACGTAGGAGTTCCCGGCGAATTGCCCACCGCCCCGTTGTGCTCTACGCACTAAATAGATTCTTCGCAGCAACAATCGGCTTTGAACTCTTTTCTAACGGGTGTCGAATTTCACTCTTTTCCGTCTCATCTGGTAGCCCACAGAGAGTTTGCCCTGGATACAAGCGAGAAAAACACAGATATATCGGTAAATCAGGTGGAAAACAAGCCCTGTGGAGGATGCATTTCTTTTGATACTCGAAAGTTCGTGTGTACCAAATCAGATAACGGTGAAATTTCGCTACAACGAACGCTGTTACAACGAATTTGCAGTAGAAGGAACTTTTTTTCTGCCCTCCATTTGCTGGCTTGCATAGAGGCAAAGATCGAGAACATCCTTCTCAGCGAACTCTTATTACAACGAACGCAGAGATCGTTTTCTATACGGACGAAGCTTCGAAAACAGGTCTCCCTCATTCGATCTAATGTCATCGAGTCATCAGGCCTGACGATAGCCATTTGCCCCGTCTCTCTAAAGGGAGCTATGTTCGCTGCGTAGATGCATTCCGGCTAAGCGGGTGTTTTCTTCTTGGAAAACCTTTCGGCTTTCTGGCGACCGCTATCACATGCCGTCCGGCTGAAATCGAGCTTGAAGAGGAAGATTACGCACAGCGATTAGCTCTGAGCCGATCAAATTGCAGTTATATGATCCTGAATCAAGAGTGAAACCTCGATTCTGTGAATGAAATGACTGCTTTCAGGTTCCTTCGGACATGTCCCATGACACGGAGACAGCTCCATCCGTCCTGAATGAGCTCAGCCAAACAATCTCGGGAGGACGATTATGTATTATCGGACCGCGGTGGCTTATCAGCGGGTTCTGTCGATATTCTCGCCGTACTCCCCGGTATACTGACAGCTCACAAGTTTCGCGCAGCCGCTCGCGAATTCAAAAGGCGACGCGTCGTCCCCTCTCCCAACCCCCTACTCCCATCAAACCCGTGTTGCCCCTCGACTTCATCGGCGCATTTCTTGCTCACGTGCGAGCTTGAGGATGTCGCATGCTTCGGCTCACAAGTTAGATGCTGAATTTGATTCTTTGAACCTCCCTCGCGCACACAATCGGCGTTGCACTTCCGCATTCGTATCCGCTTGCTGACACTTCCGTCTCGCGTGGGGTCTGTCGAAACTTTACTTTGTCTCAGGCCTCGCCTCCGCTCTTCCCATCGTCGTCGTTGGTCTCGCAGCCATCGCTTGCATCAAAGAAAGCTCTCCGTGAGGTAGATCTCTGTCAGCCAGCTCAGAAGTCCACCTCCGCTCACGATTGTCGACCCTGTCTGGGCGCGATACGGGGTTGATAACGCCGAGTCCCGACTGGACGACTCACCTCGCCTCTGACTTGCGTAATCCCTCCGTATGAGCCCGGATCGATTCCGTCAAAGAGTGCGGATGTCGAAAGAAAACTGACACGTAACGCGCGACGCTAGGTCGTCATGATTGATAACGGCGACAGAAGGATAAGTGGGCCTGTCCACAAAGAGATGGAGATGTCGAATAAATATCGTCACACCATGATTCAACTCGAGGTCTTCCTCGAAGATGGGAAAGTTTTCCGTATATCCCGGTTCCTTCCAGTTCCGCCGTAACTCGGCTCTCGTGTGTTTGGTCAAGCCCTTGTAGCCTAAAAGCAATGCTGCCGATTCGCATGAAGCCGTTGCAGTACTTGCTGGATCATCCGCTGATCGGCATGGAGCGCGGATTGGGGGAAGTGACGTGGGTCTCTAAGTTATCTTTGGATGGACAGGTTTACTTTCGTTCGCTCTGTTCGTCTTTCGAGAGCTAACTAACGGGCTTGCCGCTCGGCCGCCTGGCCGGCTCGTTTCGTGTTAAATCAAGCCCACATCCTGATCACACAAGTCTCATTTCCTCTTAATTAGTCTCCCCACTCGTCACCACAGACCGTAGACATGGCTATCCTATCAGTCTCCAGACTTCGTTTCCCGTTCACTACATCCTTCTCTACTTCCTCCCCCATGCTCCATTTTGCTGGCGATTATCCGACGCCCGGTCCAGTGACCGGTCGGCCGGTCGTTCTTCTTTTCAGACGACCCCCCCCCCGCCCTTCGTGATGCACCTCTTGCCCTCACCGACGCCATCGAGACAGCCCTTTGCCACCCCACCTCATCTTGCCGGCGGGAAGTTAGAACGCCTTCATTCTACGCTGATAGAGTTGAGGCCACAGGAAATTGTGTTCTTGATTGGAAGATTGATGGTACAGCCACCGCGACTCTACTTAGGTGTTTCCACGGCGCACCTCCCCACCGACCGAACCCTGTCGTATCCTCGCCGAGCTTCTGACACTGTTTCGAAGCGACCAACGACAACTTCGCCGCTCCCGAACTTCAGCCTTTGCAGGGAACGACCGAGGAATCCGCGCGAGACGATTCGTTCTCTTTTGCGGAAAGTAATTCATTACTTGGAATAGGTTGTTCGACGGTCACGTAACTGAGCCTTCCCATGGATCAGGATTTTCGTCCCTGCCCCCGTTGCCTCGATGCCGCGGAGCGGTCACTGCATTCCCAACGCCGCGGTCAGGGCTCTCGAGCTACTGGAAATCATACGCTCAAGCTCACACAGCTGTGAAACGATCGATTCTTACCCAGCCGCAGAATCCTAGGGAATGGTTCACTATGACTCGGCGCTCGACAAGAATTTCCGATCTCTGTACCTCCTTAGCAAATGCGACGAATCCAGCCATCTCGTGTATTATAATACTACTGATGCATGGATATTGTCGATTCCGATCGTTTCGATGGGGGTCATTGGGTGAATGGGTGGTTGGCCGGCCGGCCGACTGGCTGGGTGACAAGTGGCTGCTCCTACCAGTATCCGAGCTGGTGGCCAGTGGCCAATTACGAAAAGACCGTCGTTGACACCCATAATACCAGTCCCATAGCTCACTCCGTGGGAACATACACATACAATAATGCAGCGGGAACGAGCCATCTACGGTTCGAGAGCGCGGCCAGACGAGCCAAAGCAGCTCGGGACGAGCTTCCTCCGCGAAAGCTAATTTCAAATAAAGCTCCTGCTGTTTCTGCCATCCGCCAGAGTGGTTTCACATCAGCTGGCTCGAGTCCATTGGGAGCAACAGTGAGCATGGATGAAGTGGAAGCAGGCAGGGAGAGCTAACCGACCGGCCAACCGACTCGACAGCGCATACAGGGCTTACGGAGATTTTGATTCGTCACCGCATACTAGGCCGGGTCGTGGAGACGCTCGTCACCATCTCGGGCAAGAGACTACGAATTCCAAGCACAAAGACAGACGTGTTCAGAAATCATTCCGCCCGAGCGACTTGCGGTATTCCAAGAGAGTAGGCCGAGGTGGATACACCAAGACGCGTTAAAAAAGAAAGCTCAAGCACCTAGCCGAGAGTCTCGCTGGATCTAATCTGCTATGGCGGGGAACGACTCTCTGATGATTCCTCTTGCAATTGGCTCAAGACCTGAAATGAATGTCGCGACTCCCGTCGCTGAATTCTGGGCTGAGCTGAATTCGGCGCGGAGTTCTTCTTTTCCCTCTGACAAGTGTTTCCACCGTCTCAAGTCATCGTTCGACGACTACTTGTTAGTCGAGGGCAGACGACAGATGAGGCTCTTCTTTTGGCGTCGAGCAATTCGTCGGCGGGAAGATCCGGCCGAGCTGGCGTAACGACGTTTCGACTGACAGTTTCGCCTGTTTCATTAAGTGGCCATACGCACGCACGCGGGCGAGTGAGCAGAACGACTCCGTGAGCGAGAACAGCGAGAAACTCAGGGCCATCAATCAGCTAATTGTAAAAGTCCTAGATCTCTTGTGAGTGTCTGTCGTGCCCTCTGACGTATGGGTCGGAACGCTCGCCACCGCTTGATCGTTGCCAAAATGGCGTCATTCGGAGTAACGACGCACATCGCCGACCGTGCAAAGCTTAGACAAACCCAACGCGGACCATCTTCGTCTCATATCTCTAGATCTCGAGAACTTATCATTAATTATCCCGTCATCGACTGTGCTCTCGATCGAATTCATAGCAATCGTCCAGACGTCGACTCGTTGTGGTCGTTTATCATTCGAGACCGAAACGTCGGGTTTCAATGTCCGTTCGCTCCGGACTCCGGTGTCACCTGAGATGGTGATCGATTTGCGACCGAAAGAGTTTCGGCTCCACGATCTGGAATCGTCGCCGTTCCATAGAAGTCGAACTCGGGGTAATCCGGTTCAGCGTGAGGGGACAGGAACCGTATCGGGCGAGTCCAGCCTCCGATTGGACCGATAAGAGTTAAATTTAATACCGTCAAGCATGTCCCGAGGCGCCGCAACGCGATTCATCTTAGAGCGTACGTTGTCAAAGGACTCGGTACTTTCGCTTTCGCCGTCATGAATGATGTTCCCGCGGACGAAGCTGTCTAACGCTACGAACGAGGTATGGAAATCTTGATGACTCAAAGGACAGGAGTACAACCCTGTCTTCTCCCTAACTATATTGAATATCTTAGTGGAAGGACGATGAAAAAGTCGAGGAGGAAGCGGAAAATGGCTCATACTTCTCCGCATACGGAGAACAAGAGGGGCCAACCTCCGAGTCGTCGTCGTCGCTCGCAGGGCGATGAGCCATCGTGGCGCTGGCCGTGGTTCTAGTGAGTGTGAGCCTGTGATGGATCGCCAATTAAAAGAAACTTTGTCTGCGGAAAGCCTACCGACCAACTGACTTGCTGCCGCGGCTACGCTCGGATCGCTACGCGTAATCCACAACCGACGAGCGAGCCAGTACTTTACATTGAC